GCTCTTCCGATCTCCCCAAAACCCCAAAACCCCTTAAGAGTAAAATGATCAAATGTATTTAAATTCAATTTATATAAAATACTTTTAATAATTATTTGCGAAAAAATGAAGTCATCACTGTAATCTTCTTCTCAAAATATGGCACCAATAACTTTTCGATTTGGTGATAAAATCATTCCATCTTAGCACGTATTTATCTCTCGCAAGCATGTCTATGCCATGATTTATGATAAAGCAATAGCTCCTGGGCACGTATTAGTTTGCCCGACTCGCCAAGTACAGCAGTTTAAAGACTTGACTGAACTAGAAACTCTGGAGCTCTTTGTTTGCGCTAAGGAAATAGCTAATAAATTCAAAGATTTTTTCAAGATGAAAAGTTTCAGCTTCGTCATTTAGGATGGAGAGCAAGCAGGCCAATAAACCAAACATGTGCACTTACATATAATTCCTAGAGATGATAATTAGCACGGGTATAGCATAATTAAATTCAATAATGTACCAGAGAGAAGTGCTAGTGACATGGCTGAGGAGGCAGATGAATTAAAGATATATTTTGATAAAAGAGACGAGATATAGTAGTTCAATAAAGCAGGCTACATTTGAAGCAGTGTGATATTATTTGTGATCTAAATGTTTGTTCTATTGATAATATATTTATTGGCCTAATCATTCATATTTTCTTGATTGATATACTTAAAAATCAACGAATCTATTCAACTCTATTGAGCAATCTTATTTATTAGAATCTTCAAAATTTTGTAGGACTCAGCATGACTTCTATATTTTACTACTCGAATTCTGGACTAGCAATAAATTATCAGTATTCTTATGCTATAATTAAATTTCAACACTCTCTTTTAATATATTCAACTTTTATTAAGAAAAATAAAAGACTGTTTCAAGGACTAATTATTAATAGTTTAAAGTTGAGTTAAATTAAGGGTAATAATAAACTTTCATAATAAATACACTCTAACGAAGGATCATTATTAAGATTAATTCCTAGATTCTTCAATAAGCCCTTGCTAACTGCCTATCTCTAACTCGTATATTATATCAACCAGTTATCATTATAGTACAAAGAAGGGAATTGAATCTTCAAAAAATTAAGCAGGAGCAGGATACTTTGCCTGAATCGCAATCTTCAGGCAATAAGGGTCCACAACATGTGCAGGATCTTATCAAGATTTTTTCTATAGATTTTTCATCGTATAATCTTGATCCTTTTATGACCTAATCTCTGAATGTAACCTTTTTATTTGATTTTTATTTCTTAGAATTTTTCTTAACAGATTACTCAAGTTAATCGTGTTATTATTGGCCTTATCGAGGAGATCTATCGTAAATCTGAGTACTGTTAGTGGTCTAAATGAAACTATATGTTTTCTAGTTGTCTATGATTAATGATTAAATCAAACTGAAAGTTACTTAAATAAGGGGACTCAGGAGCACCAATGCTGAATGACTTATCTTCATCTATTCCTACAACAAGGTTGGCACTCTTTAACTTAAGCAGTGAATGAGAGTTGAAGTCATCCACTGGATATATAAAAACTTCATTGCCTGCTCCATTTCCCAATGTATTGTCTTCATCTTCTTCGGAGAGGATGGGAGAATAGACTTGCTGCTATCTTATATGATCTGAGATAACTCTGGTATTTTTTCGACTCATAGAATGATCAATCTCATAAAGTGACTCATTTACTATTTTCGAATTCAAAAAATGAGAATATATTACGTACGATCAGAGAGATCCAAGAAGTTGGTCTACTCCTAATGGATAAAACCTTCATGAATAGATTAATCTAACAGTGAACTAGTGTAATTTGCCTGGGTATCTAGAATGTTTGATGCCATTTTATAATTATTTCACAAATTTAATTTGAGAGTATATATATTAACAATTCGTTTGTATTTAATATTTCAAACATGCTGCGCGGCTATCACTTTTTCGCTTAGTTCCTGACTTTCACAACTCTTTTGCTAAGTTATTTGTTCTCTTTCTCCAGTTTTTTAACTTTCTTTTCATAATAAACTGCTATCTCTCCCTGCCTCGACATTATCTCTGAAACCAACTTTTCTTGAAAAGATCTAAGTTACTCTACTGCCTCAATTGTTGTGGTTCTGAGTTTCAATTAATCCTCTCTTACTAGCTAGAGGGATTTATAATATTTGCCGACAAGAAGTTAAGTTTTTTCTTTCCAATGATCAGCTATCTTTTCCAAAGATTGAGCTCTGTCTTCATAAATTATTTTCAGATTTTCACAACAACATTAAAGTGATACTCTTGCTGCGTCATAATTAATATCTTAAGCTTTTATTCTTTGACTCTTAAGTTGTATCTTTAGTTGCTTTTTCTCTTTCTCCAATTTGTCAATCTTTTTGTGCAGAGTAACAAAAGTTTCCTTCTAAAACGTTTAGATCTCAATAGAGCTGCTTTCATTATTATTTCGATTTATTTGAGTCGAGTGATGGTTATTAAGAGTCAAAACCTTTGACTATGCATGTCTTTTCCGGTTGGATATTGCTGTGGAAAGATTTTCCTATGATTTACTCAATGGATATAGAGATTGTTACCTATCCTTGCTAAGTCCACCTAGAGATCTCATTCTATTATTTCTTAATGTATTAATCTTTGGCGAACTTTTTCTACTGCCTGATTTTTTCCTAAATTGATCTTATTTAAGTATATCTATTTTTGATTGCAGCTTATCATTTTATTATTTGAGTGCCTGATTCTATAATTCCAATTATTTCTGTTTGAATTCTTGATAATTCAAGTTATTTTCCTTTTATTCTTATAGTAAACTGATTCCATTTTAAGTGGTAATGTTAGTATAGTCAAGAATTGTTGCCGATCCTAGTCTAATAGGACTACTCCTCATGTTTTAATGAGATATGTTATTAATTGAACTCAAAGTTTGCTTCGAAGTATTGCTCTTCTTAAGTCCTTTTAGATTATTAATTGACCTTGAATTTAAAGAATTACCTTGCGAGTTATATACATAAAGTAAATTGTTGTACTTAAGCAGTAAATCATTATAATCATTAGATTAATTCTCCACATGCTGAAATTTCTTTTTCATATCTTCAATAAGTTCTAGACTTCTATCAAGATATTACGAGCGCTTTTCAAGTTCACTAATTTTGCTCATAAGTTTAGCTTCAGTTTCTTTTTTTACTCTTTCCTCTGATTCCTTTATAACTTCTTGTAACGTCATCATATGAATATAATTCTGGTCATTAAGTGTCCCTCTACCAGAAGATTAATTGAAAGTGTACAAATTTTAATTCTACTATCTCTTCATTGGATCCTATTAAAAGAGCATATTATTGCTGTTTCTATTGTTCCTCTCATTATAGATTGAACTTTCGACACCTAATCTATCTAGTTCTAAATCACCCTAAGTCGATAAAAGCCTTGGACTTAAATTTGAAGCAGGTCCACTTATCTTATTGTCTAGTGCTAAATTCTATCTTTAGCTCTCTATTACAAATAATCTAGGACTTACTAAGTTACTATTCAGGTGAGTTGGTATTTTATAATCCATATTGGGATTATGATTAACAACTTATTCATAATTACTTTCTTATGAATTAGAAGACTAAGCATATCTATTGCTCTGTTATGAATTTGCAAATTAATCGTAAGCTCCTTCAAGCAGATTTCCTCTGCTAAAAATTGACATACCACCAGCAACTGGGTGCATGTAGAGTTATTAATCTTGAACCATACTTGGATTAATTAATTGATTTTATGATTGGTTAAAAATCATAGAAGGAATTGAATGCTACTGCTATTGCTAAGATTACTATAGAATATATCTCTAAAATTTTTATATGTCAATTTCATCTTAAGGTTTTTATAATGAATGATTTATCAAAGAGGACTAATTAGTCATATTTTTTCTTAAATTTTGAATTCTTTCGTAAATTGACTCTAAATGAGATGATTCTTATAGTTCGCTCTGATTTTTGTTATCATTTTAGAATGAATCTTCAGTCTTCAAGGGTTTATCTATGTAATCCAAATTACTATTTTAATTAGTCTTCTATTAATTTGATTCTTCTTTTGGAGTAATAACACTTAATTAGCTATTTTGAGATGGAGTTCCATTATGATATTAATTATTGATCTGTGATCCGAGAAGAGCAGAGTTATTATTGCTATTTGGTGAGTATTAAGCATATCTAAAGTTAAGATTAGGAATAGCCTTAAAGTTATTCATATTTGAATTGGTGTCATCAGACTAAAAACCTGATTTTAAACGCAAAAAGTTAGCGTTTATACTGTCTGGAGAGAATGTATTAGATTGGCCGTCCATATATAATTTTCAATACGATTTTTAATTTATTGAAATTTAAAAATTACAATCAACTGAAATTCTCCATTTAAATTAAATTATTTTATTCTGTGGACGGGGTTTTGGGGTTTTGGGGTTTTGGGG